TTATTTATTTATTTATTTATTTATTTATTTATTTATTTATTTATTTACGTTGTTAATGATCATTAACGTGACGTTAGCCTTGAATCGCTAGCTGCGGCTAATGGCTAATAACAACACGCCAACATTAATCAAGTCCTGCAGGAAGCCAAGGATAGATATCCAACTCCCCCACATCCAAGTCGGCCATTTTGATTAGGTCACCAATAGGAAGATCCCAGGCAAGAAAATCCTAATTGCTTCATGCCAATATAGACATTCATTTAAAAATAGGGAAATCAATCTTTCAAACACTGAATGAAACTTTATACATAATATTATGTTAAAATAGTGGATGTTAAATAGGTTTGTACTATAAGTCCAAACCAGTTTAACCCAAAAAATATTTATTACTCACAATTGCATTCTCCTACTCTGCACCTTGGGGTTGGAATAACCTCCAGAAAGAGCTCAAATTAGAAACTCTCGTGTCCATTATTGAATTTAAAGCAACCATGAAGAATGTAGTGATGGAGATATGTGCTTGTTTTTCTTGAGATGCTCAATGTGTTTAACATACTGCTCTGATTTTATTATGAAAAATGTAATTTGTTGTAAATATGTAGGAACTTCCTGTGGTTTGGCTGCTACCTTGGCCAGGTTTCTCCTGAAAAAGAGATTCTGAATCTCAATGGGACTTCCTGGTTAAATAAAGGTTAGAGTAAGAAAAAATAAAAAAAATTATGAAGGGTGGAGGGTTAGGTTTAGGGTCAGGGTCATTAATGTGGGCCAACAGCGACCATAACATCAGTAACAGGCATATTATATTATATTATTAATATAGTTTGAAACCAAAGACACTAACTTGTCAAAATTCAGTTCAATTTTGGGGTCTTTGTTTTTATCCTTGTGGTATCGAAAATGGTATAGAATATTTTCCTGAGTATCGGTATCGAGTTGAAAATGTTAGTATGGTGATAACCCTAGTTTTCTCCACCCATCAGGGGGAGAAGGTGGAGGGTCTCCAGGCTCAGGCTTTATACCCGTGGAGAGCGAAGAAGGACAACCACCTGAACTTCAACAAAAACGAGGTGAGACCCGGGCGGCCGCTAACCTTAACTCATTGACTGGCAGCCATTTTCAGAACAGAGTCCCATACTGCCAGAGTTTTTTGAGCATTTTGACCGATTTTTCAAGAGCCACAGAATAGTTTGTGCTATGACTATGTAAACACCGAACACACCAAAAGAAAGAGTAGACTCTCTTCTTTCATCAGGAAAAAATAATGTGTTTCTACCTTATTCCGTTCTTCCTGGACTTGCGTCTCACCGGCGACATGTTCTCTCATAGCGAACCGTTACCTTTTTCTTATTTGCCTACAGTCTATGCTCACATCCCATCAAAAGTGGCACTGCCCCCTAGAGGGTCAATTTGTTACTACATACTCTGTCTAGAAGCCGATATTTACGGACAAGCTTTAGCAGATCGTCCCCCAGACACTCTCGATGAAAAACACAAAAGACGTCTATAGACGTCTTTGGCAGCCAATGAGTTAACCCTAACCCTAACCCTAACCCCAACCCTAACCCTAACCCCAACCCTAACCCTAACCCTAACCCACACAGGTAATCACGGTGCTGGAGCAGCAGGACATGTGGTGGCTAGGGGAGCTGCAGACGGGTCAGAGAGGCTGGTTCCCCAAAAGTTACGTCAAGCTCATCTCCGCCAACGTGGCGCCCCCTGCTGCCGCAGTACCGCGCAGCAAAAACACCAGGTGGGTCCAAAAAGTCCAGCGGGGGCTCGGTCATTTATATTTTAACCCTATAATGCCAAATGTTTCATATTTGATACGGTTTCTGAAGTCTTTTGGATCTGAGACTTTCTGCATCATTCAGTGGTAAAAGCTTTGCTCAAACCCCTGTTGTACACATTCAGATATACCTGATAACAGCCAGTAGAAGACTACACCAACATATATTTTTTACTTATTGCACGCTAATTTGATCCAAATAATTTCAGTTTTTTTTTCTTCATATGTTGTTTAGGGGCCAAAGAAAGACTTCAGACTAAAAAAAATCCAATATTCTTCCTATTTTTCTTGGATTGGGCTTTAAAGCCCGACTTGACTTATCGCATAGTAATAAATTATTAATATTGAAAATGTATTTCTGTTTTTTCTTTTTACATATTTTTTTAAAAGGCCAAATAAGGAAGTCAAACCAAAAAAAAGTCATTTTCTGTTTTGTTTTATTCTTGGATCAGGCTTTACATTTAAAAATGTGTTAATTTTCTGAGGACACACAAAAAAGACATTTTAAAGAACATTTTAAGACATTTTAAGACATTTCAGAGCACTCTCTCCATCTATATCTGTAGCTACCTGTAGAAAGAGCTCATGTGAGCCAATCACAGGCCAGTTTCTGAAAAGTTTTTTCTCCTGTGACTTTATTTGGCTTCTGTCTGTTTCAGTGAATCTGGAATATCTGAGAGCCCACCCAACGGGAAACGTCCGTCTCCCTCCCCGACCAAACCCTCTGACTCTGGAGAAGGTAGCTAACACAAACCTGCTAACCTCAGACAGCAGCAGCTTAGACTTAGACTTAGACTTCCTTTATTGTCATTGCACAAAAACACGAGGTGAATTTGACAACGAAATGTCGATTACTTGGCTACCAGTGTAACAGCTAAGACCTTATTCCTACACAATAAATATGTATTGTATACTATTCTATAACTAAGCGCTACGCGTAAAGAATTATATTTATACATATACAGTCTCAGAAAATTAGAATATGGTGATAAAGTTCTTTATTTTCTGTAATGCAATTAAAAATCATGAAATGTCATACATTCTGGATTCATTACAAATCAACTGAAAAATCGTAAGCCTTTTATTGTTTTAATATCGCTGATTATGGCGTACAGCTGAAGAAAACTCAAAAATCAGATATTCTAATATTTTGAGATAGGATATTTGGGTTTCTTAAGCTGTAAGCCATAATCAGCGATATTAAAACAATAAAAGGCTTGCGATATTTCAGTTTATTTGTAATGATTCCAGAACGTATGACATTTCATGATTTTTAATTGCATTACAGAAAATAAAGAACTTTATCACCATATTCCAATTTTCTGAGACAGTCCTGTATATATTGCACTGAATTTTTGCAACGAAACATCAATAAACATGTGTGTGTGGGGGTGTGGAGGAGTGTTATGTGGCGTTAAGTAGTCTGATGGCCAGGGGGAGGAAAATGTTCAGTATTC